TATATATATATCGCTGGAGTGGTTTGCAGCTGAGTGTGAAGTGGCCGAGAAGAGGATCAGTGCCTCCAAATCCGAGACCATGGTCTTGAGCCGGAAACCAGTAGCGTGCCACCTCCATGTCGAGGAGGAGGTCCTGCCCCAAGTGGAGGAGTTCAAGTATCTCGGGGTCTTGTTCAYGAATGAAAGAAGAATGGAGCGCGAGATCGACAGGCAGATTGGTGCTGCATCTGCAGTGATGCGGGCGCTGTACCGGTCTGTCGTGGTGAAGCGGGAGCTGAACCAGAAAGCAATGCTCTCAGTTTACCGGTTGATCTATGTTCCTACCCTCATCTATGTTCACGAACTTTGGGTAGTGACAGAAAGAACGAGATCGTGGATACAAGCGGCCAAAATTTTTCCTTTGCAGGGTGTCTGGGCTCTCCCTTAGAGATAGGGTGAGAAGCTCGGTCATCCGGGAAGGACTCAGAGTAGAGCTGCTGCTCCTCCACGTCGAGAGGAGCCAGTTGAGGTGGCTCAGGCATTTGGTTAGGATGCCTCCTGGACGCCTCCCTGGTGAGGTGTTCCGGGCATGTCCCACTGGGAGAGGCCCAGGGGAAGACCCAGGACATGCTGGAGGGTCTATGTTTCTCGGCTGGCCTGGGAATGCCTTGGGATCTCCCCCAGAGGAGCTGGCCCACGTGGCTGGGGAGAGGGAAGTCTGGGTCTCTCTGCTTAGGCTGCTTCCCCCGCGACCCGACCCCGGATAAGCAGCGGAAAACGGACGGACATATATATATATATATATATATCTTGTGACCACATGATAATAATGTGTAGGCTATTTATGTGATGGCAACGTACACCTTAGGTATGTGTCAGGAAACTGATTTCTACTGTGTTCCTGAACGCAAACATAACTCTGACTATACTTCCTACAGCTTCATGTCGAAAAAGTACAGGAAGAAGGACCTCAGGGATAACTACTGCCGGAACCCTGACAACTCCACTGTTGGTCCGTGGTGCTTTACCACTGACCCCAGCCCACACCTCAGACACCAGGAGTGTGGCATACCACAGTGTTCACAAGGTAGGCCAATATGCACACACATAAACATGCACAAATGAATACATCGGCTTGAAGACATTCACCTTGGAGTAATCTCAGGCCTCTTCATGAACTGCTGTATTAATTTAGGCTCGACCATCTGAAATGAGCTGCAGCAAATTTTACAATCATGTCTTTAGATTACACTTCTTTGTGATTTCATTTTTTTATTCCTGCTTGTATGTGTCTGAATATGCAAGTTTTATTTATTTGCTAAAGAAAGTCATGGCTGTTTTCAGGTGTAATTATTTTGTTTTTGACGTGGTCTCGCATTTCTTCAGGGCCAAATAATGGGAAACCTGTAAAGTTCAAACGCAAAGGACCAAGTTTTGAAATGTTAGACCATCCTGTTGGGTTGTCTAATTTGCATTCATTTCTACATTTTAAGTCTGTCCTTATGTCTAACATGTGGTTGTGATAAAGAGAAAAACACCTCTTTGTCTCAACCTTTATGTTACAACCCAGAATGTTACTGTCAGACACTGTAGTCCTCCCAAAGGATGGGGTGATAATGATGTCTCTTATCTAATCTTTAGAGATTCGTGCTGTCAGAGGGGTCATTTCCCTTTTCGTGTCACCGGATCCCTTTAATGAAAAACTAAGTTGTGGTTTGATTAGACATAATGTTTCTTATTCTTCAGCTCACACACAATGCCTCATTGGGTTATCACAAATTGTACAACAGAGAAAATGACATCTTATTTTAATAGAGAGCCCTGAGGACTCTAGACTAAAAAAGACTGGGGAGGATTCTTCAGAAATGAAGTGGTATTTATAGGGAAAAGACACAAACATGGCGTGTACAAGCACAGAAAAACACCAGCAGTAAGTGGCAATAAATGTGTTGTGTCATCACAGGAGTAGGCCCCTGAACATCTGTTTCTAATAGGCATCCTTTTGGTTGTTTACACAAGACGGCACAAATTGCTCACCACAAAGCGAAAGGAGGCCCGCTTCATCAAACATTCCTGCTCTCATTAGTTTAATACAGTTTGTGTTCACATACATTAAATCTATGTTTGCATACTTACTATTGTGGAACTTTGTTAGGTGGTCCATTATCAAGAGTTTGTGTGTGGATGGCAGTAGTTAGCACCTGCAATAAGAATGTCCAAGACTGTTAGTTTGATGAAGCCATTTTATGAGGAGTGTGTTTTGTTTGTTCATTTTTTACCTGAGTGAGTTTCCTCCAGGCTTCTATTTGTTGATATAATATGATGTTTTTCCCCCCTCATCTAACCTTCTGTGGTTTTTTTCATTTTTCTTTTTAAAGGTAGCGCGACCCCTGCTGGTTGCTGCATGACCTGTACACCTGTTCCCCCATGTTTTTGTCATGTGTGTCTTTTTGAATGGGTGTTCTTAAATGTAATTTCATTGTGCTCCATACAATGACAATAAAGGCATCATCAACATCATTATAATGCACTTTTTAAACATTTTCTCTAGTCAGGGCCGATTATGGCCAATTTGACACCCTAAGCAAGATTTCAGGTTGTCCCCCGTGTGCAATTTTCTAAATCTCTGCCAAGTTACATACATTCACATACCAAATTAAATGTTTTGTCTTTGATGTTATTTTTAACTTTTAGAAAGCAGGCTGTACAATTAAAACAGTTAACAATACACTTCATTTGAAACTAAATACCATTTTTCCAGTCATCTGAAGTGCATTTTACTAAACCTTTGGGATTAACAAAACAACAAAAAATCTGTATTTTATGAGGGTAGAATGCTAAAAACATGACTTTAACCTGGTCTTTATCTGAGATCATAACTGAAACTTCTATTATCCTTATTTTGTTTTTTTATTTACACACTGAGCACCAGTAGTTAGTTCTGACTGCATCATATACTTTTATCACGAAATATTCTCTGCACCATATAACACCTCATGTAATAACAAAGTAGGCTGTGAAACCAACAGAACAAATTACCTTCATAAACTTCAGTAAGTGGTTATTCTACAGACTAAATCAACTATACTCTGATAAAGTTTTTGACGTCCCCTAGGTGGACAACACCATTAGCATTTGCCTATACTGCCTATGTCACAGGCCCTGTCTGTAGAATTGGTGTAGCTTGCAAATGTGAGGCTTTTCTATCAAAACTGTAATAGCTATTTATTTACTTGTGTTTCATTTCTGTTTGTTGCTGCACAGTGGAATGTATGAACTGTAATGGAGAGGATTACAGAGGACCCATGGATCATACAGAAAATGGAAAAGAATGCCAGCGGTGGGACCTGAACGAACCACACAAACACCAATTCCACCCCAAGAGGTCAGCCCAGTTCCCCATATACTCATTCCAATCCTCTGTACATCCTTTTTAGCTTGTAGGTGTGCAAACATAAATGCAAAAACGGCATATGAGAATATGTTCTGAATATTGTGCTCTGTGGCTGTGGTGCACTGAGGAGATGATGTGATTTTTGAGTCAGCCTGTAAAACATTTCCCCGAAGGAACATCATGAGAGTTCAGTATACAAGTGTGTGTTTTTAACTGGGAAATACTGGGAACCCCCCTCATTTTTGAATTAGGGAGGCCATTTATTTCAATCTGTGTAAGTGTTCCTCACACATCCTTAGCGTGCGTGTTGGGTGTCTGTGTCAAGACTTTTAGCTTGCTGGGTGGCAGGTGGTCTAGATTAGTGGGGACTCGTTAACACATTCTTAATCATCCCGTCGTTTATGTAAACCAGGCCCTAGATTGCTCACACAGCTAATGTAATAAGAGGACTCACAGCCTAAATCGTCATGCCTGGAGGCTACAGGCCTAGAGGGATGGGTGGGACCTCGAGGGTGACTTACTGTTAAACACCTGCAGTGGAGCAGCTTATTATCCTTCTCAGTCCCCTAAGCTCTAAATAGATTAACATATGTAGTCTATCCTCAGTTAGTCATTAATTTGTCAGCTACATGCAATGATAAATTATTTTTTGACTCAGTCTGTGAAAAACTCATGCATGATTTGTGTTAGGTACCCTGACAAGGGCTTAGATGACAACTACTGTAGGAACCCAGATGGACGTCACAGACCCTGGTGTTTTACCACTGATCCAAACACACCGTGGGAGTACTGCAACATCAAAGTCTGTGGTAAGCGTGAACACTTGTTTGTTTGCATGTGGCAGAATGCATTAAAGTTGGCTACAATTGAAATTTTGATCTTGACTTTTGCTTAGTGCAAACCTGGTTCCCTCGGTCATAGCTGACTGACTCATTCAAACTTTGACTTCCTTTACCATTCATTTTACTTCTCATCTCTCTGCAGATGTTGTAGGGAACACATGCAAATACATGCAGAGTTTCCCTTCTGAGGCTAGGTTCTCTGTCACGTCCTCTCCAAAGGCCAGAATGTTTATTTCTCCCCCCGCAACACTGCTCTGTTGTTTATTGTTCTTTGCCCTCTTGTAGGTTTGGTAGCCAAGGTGCAAAAAGCTCAGTTACTGCTCCAAATTAACCTTCTGTACTTCAAAGAGAGGCGACACCAGGGTCACACACACACACACGTTTGTTTCTTGACCCCGTGGGAACCTTCCATTGACTTCCATTCATGTTTTTTAGCCTTTATAGCCTAACCCTGGCCATATACTCTAAAATTAACCTCACAGAAACTTACCTGACCCTAAAACTAACCTAAACCTTGGTCGTAAACCTAACCCCACACCTGTAACATGCATTTAAACCCGTGGGGACTTGGCAGTGGTCCCAACGATTCATTTCTGTCTCCACAAGGCTGCTTTTTTTGGTAAAAGATTCTCCACGTTGTAGGAAAAACCCATCTACACACACACACACACACACACACACACACACACACACAC